AGGTTATCGGATCGTTCCGCTCAGATTCTCCTCGAAAAACTCGGGCCGTCTTCAAAACATAGTCGCGAACTCAACAAAGCTAGGCTACCAGAGCTAAATACAGGACTGCGCGTGCTCGCGTGAACTCAGTCAACGTGATCGCGTTTTGCCGAACTGATTGGCGCCGTGGCGTCGAACGGGCGCTGCTCAGGTGCTCTCCCCGAACACTCACGCTCACTCGACCGGCTCGTTCAATTCCGGCCGTCTTCAACCACCTTCAAGATTCCCTGGTTACACATCTATCCACTGGGGCTCAAGAGCAATCGAATCCACGGTCGATCCTTCATTCAAATATTTTCTTGTCATCCCTTGTCCTTGTCGTCTCTTGTCCGAATTTAGACGCGCTTGTTGTCCGTGTGGCCACATCGGCCTTGTTCTCCTCAAAGGATAAAAGGCCTCGAGCCTCGGAATACGTCCAACACACCATGACTTCGACCACCTCTGATTCATCCCCACCAGCCCACCCCCGGCTAGATATCGGAGACGCTGCTGCTCTTCTCGCCACCATCGTGAGCGCCGGACTAGATGACCCGAAGAACCCACTGGAGCCATCCTACACCGAGGTCGAGGCTTGTCGCCGCTTACTGTGTTGGTCGACCTCGCTGGAGGATCTTTTGCAGGACGCACACGAGAAGGGTGATTATGCTGCTATTCGGGTGCATCGTACGTTTCTCTGCGCCTGCCATTCAAAGTTTCTGACATATTCCCAGCGCGCATACAACTGGCAGAGACAAGGGACATCATCACCGAATACTTGGACGAGCTCCGACCCGACTTCGAGACCTTTGTCCTCTGTGAACATCTCTTCGACGTGTGGGCGCCAGACCCAGGGATGGAAGGGTTAGAACCCAACACCCTTGCACATCTTGAATCCCTGCAAATCCCACAAGTTGATAAGACTCCAGCGGTCCTCATCGATCGCTTGGGAAGCTTCCAAGACGATCACAAACTCAGCAACCGCGTGGATCATATTTTTCAGAAGGGTGCGACGACGTGAGTACATGCATAAATACTTCGATCGACATTTACGAGTATCAGTATCCTCGTGAATGCCGCGGCTACGGGCAAAACCCGTCTGGCTTTTGAAGGTCTTTGCCGGCACTGGGGCTTCTACTTCCCTATGAATATGGACGGCAACCATTTGGGGTCCCACGACCAGTACCACCACGAGTACATGTATTCTGACGAACCTCACTTGGTGTCGACTCTTCCCTCGCCGGACTCTCCCTCATTCATCCGGTTGTTGAGGCGTAACAGACAACTTGTTGATCAAGTGTCCAGTTGGGGTCTACTATCTCGACTGCTCATATTTCACATGTATTCCGAAACCATCCAATCCAGGTCGGCAGATATCACCAAAGAAGAGCACAAACGGCGTTGGCTACTATTCCAGTTAACCGATTTCGCGCGCACTGTCTTTGAACGCATTCTCTACCTATGCCAGTGTGGGGAACCCGACCTAAGCCTGTCGTTCAGCCACTTGTTCGGCCCTGCTTCGCCAAATCCACTGGTGCCGACACCCGCAAAAATCGAAGACCGCATTGGCGTGCTGTTTGCGAAACTCAGAGTGATCCACGGCCCGGAATTCCACCTATTCTACGTTATTGATGAAGCGAACAAATTTACGCAACTTCATACCGAAGCATTCCAGTATCAGGGAAAGTCTTACCCGGTGCTGCAGGAGATCATCCACTCCTGGGCCGCGAAATCGAACCCGAACGAGGCCTCATTTGTTGTCTTGGGCACGGATATTCCTCGGGATAGCTTTGCGACCCTACGGTTCGGAGGCTCACTCCGTTGGACTTCCGAGACAGGTTCATTTGATGAGGCGGACCACCGACGTTATCTGTCGCATTTTTTACCAACTGTCTACCGGGAATCTCCGGCTGGACAGATGTTCCTGCAGCGTGCATGGACTTGGTGTGGCAACCGGCATAGATTTACAGCTGCATTGGTCACGGCCCTCCTAATCGACGGATGCCGAGCCCCCCACACGCTGCTGAACAACTTCATTGAGAAACTCACCACCCATTGTCCGATGGACTACGTTGACGATGAACCAAGCCGTCCCTTCATCGACGTTGGATTTCGTGAGGTACATCTGTATGGACGTGAGTTGGTATTTATTTCCCGGTTGGATCGCAGTAATCTCAATAAGACTTTCAACCAGATCGAGATCTCAGATCCAAGGTACAACAAGTAATGTTTCATTACCTTGCAACAAATCAAGCACCCTCCCCATTTTCTGCCGGGATGTCATCTCTTGTCACTTCCGGCTTTGGGCGCTTCAGCGACCACGACCTAAAACAGGTTGTGGTCGATGACCCCTTGTTCCTCCTCAGGGCGGCCCGATGGCTTACGGTGCCCCCTCCAGTATGCACGCTGTGGTCACCGATTCATTACCCACCAGCCCGTCCTCACCAAACCTGTTATGAAATCCTCACTGATCATCGGTCTGAGATGACTCCAAGATCTCTCGCCAGCTTCCTGCAATATTATTTGACTCGCGCCTTCGAACATGGAGAGACCCTTTCGAAGATATTTTCCTTTCGACATCCGATTCCGAAGTGGGCTCAACAACAGGGCAAGTTGGTGGTTTCAGTGGCTAATGATGCTCCCCTAGTCCCATACAGGGAGACCTCGTCCAGTGTGGGAGGTTCTAGTGCTGTTACTCTAGATGAGGTTGATTTGTGGCTCAGTCGGCCAGAGGTCCCATTTTGTGTCACGCACACCACTATCCCGAATCTCCTTTTCATCCTGGAGCTGGAGGATGGGAGGTCTGTGCGGGTAATCTTGCAGCCCGTTGTCACAGATTCCATTCTCCGGAAACCTGAGCTCAAGAAGATTATGGGGCGGCTTGATGCTACCACTCTTCTTCGCGAAGATGTACGTGCATCCAACTTTCTTCCCCACCCCCCTTGAATCTAAATCCTTCTCAGGGAGAAAGCCCGGATTCTCCTGAGCACACTGGCGTGGTCGCTAAACTGCTCGACACCACTCGACCCGATGGTCCCTTCTGTGTCCTGCGGGTCATTGCCTCTTTCCCCGGCCAGGCACATCTGAAAACACTTGGAAGACCCTCGACAACTGCTCCCATCGCTAATCTAAATACCAGCGTATTTCGTCGTTTCACAGGACATGTCCAAGGGGCCGAAATTCTTGAGGAACTTGTCACAATTACGACAACTGGGAAACGGAAACGGCAAGAATTGGCTTTGTTTGAACCGCGGAAGAAATGTCGGGTTGGAGAGTTTTCTTCGGGTTGTAGCGAGTAGATTTTAGACAGTATGCTCGCAATAGCCATGGAGTACAGCAAAGCTGGGTTCAAACACATTTTCACCCTGACACGTTCCGGCAGGCCTGTAACGGGGTTTTACCCTGCATGAGATCCACCCAAATAGGCCGGAACAAGGCCGGAATCTGCCGGAATTGGCAAAAAAAAAAAAAGCTGTTGTCTCCAGCTACAATGCCGTCACGGCATGTCGGTTTTCTGGCGCAGTGGCTGGGTTCGAAGATTATAACCAACCGTGGGAACCAAGTCGAAGCGACATAACATGCCCAAATAAGCGCCTGCAAACGTAATCCGCCTTTCTTACTCCTAACGCACCATGTGCGTAGATGGTCCTTATGATTTCCTGCACTCACCTTCCTGTAGATTCAATGTCCTCCATTCCAAATATCGATGCAACCTACCACAAAGGCACGCACTTGGAGCTCTACCCTCCTGAAACGCCACCTGTGCGACCGGCGATGAACAACGCAGGCACGGTCTTCTGTGCTTGGCCCATTCTCAAATTCAATGCCAAAGACAAAACTAGAATGGCTGAGGCGCCACTGGCGATGTGCCACGAACACGATATTCCCCAGTCAAACTCTTCACCAATTGATGTGGAGCTCCTTGCGCCACTGTCGACCGGTGCCAGGGAAGACAGCGCGGCGCAGGTGTGGCGAGCTCGTTTCAACAGGCACGACAAATCGGGGCACGTACTGGCGCGGATATATGACCCCCTGTACTGGACGACAGCAATATACGACCGGTTCCGCCTCAATGAACGGAGCGTAGCGACCGTGGCCGAAATATACTCCCGTTTGGAACGCGTTCAGGGCACATCAATTCCTTGTTTCCACGGTGTCTTTGTCGCCAAAATACAAGTTCCCGGTGGCCCGCCTCGCTGCGTGTATGTCGTGTTGATGGAGTACATCGACGGCACGGACCGTCAATGCCACGGCAAGAATCCTGCTTCCAATCGTATCCGACGGGATCTACCCGAAGGATCTCCGCGAGCAGAACACAATTATTCAGATACCACCCACCCCATCCACGCACGATTTCTGCCCTTTCTCGGAGTGTCCCTTCCGGAATTTGATTCAGGTCGATCTCGCCGCGACTCCGACTAGTCACAACTATCGGCCTCGGGTGTTTTTAATCGACCTAGACTGTGTTGACTTTCTGGATGGAGTCGATATACAATTCACCATACGATCCTGTCGCAACAATGTGGAATCCCAATGGGCGGCGGACTGGCTCAATGGTGTGGATTTAGAGTAAGTGAGCCACTCATTGCGACAGCTCAGAGGTGCTCACCTGTTCTCAGCATGGTCTTCAAGGACTAGTGACTTTAGTTGAAGCTGCGTTCAACACGGAATGGTTTGGGAATGGTGTCCGAGTTCGAGGGTTCCGGTGTTGCAATTGAGACTTATCAATAGGATCCTTCATGGTGATACTCTTGAGCCAAATCCTTCTGCCTCCAGCAAGCACACATTCCCTGCACCATGTTAGGAACTGAAAACTAAAACAGAGTAATTGACAGCGCATTTGTGTTTGTCATCTGATGGCGGGCGGAAAAGTTGAATAAATGCACTCCCGAAGGGCTAGAACACATCACTACGGAGGTAGGGCGACGGCTGGGAAGTAAAAGGAAGGTTTCTGAGGTGCGGGAAAGACCAGCAAAAGATCAAAATTCCCATGCGGAGAATCGAACCCCGGGCTGCCGCGCTCATTAATGATGACCGTTACACCACATCGGAAATGAAAAGCGGCAATGTTGACCGTTACACCACATAGGAGGATGGTAATGGACGTTCTGGATGATCCCAGTGGACCGGAAATGCCCAGAGAATCGTTTTGAGACGCAAACGATGAAAATCCGATGAAAATGCACTAAGTCGCGATTGTCTTGAGTTAACATGGTCGAGTAGCGTGTGTATCGCTCTCAGAGGGGTCCTAGCATGTCCCCGCACCTCCCTCAATATTTTCAGAATTTTTGCGCCAAGGGGAAGCGTTGTGGATGGCGCCCAAGTCTCCGGGTGCGATGATCGGGGGAAGATACCGAAAGTACCGATTGCGGTAATGGCATAACGCAGGGCATGCGACGGGATGCTTTCAAACGATGGGTAGGACGTGCCCGCACCCGCTCCAATATTTCCAGATTTTTCGAGGGAGGGGAATGTGCTGCGCAGGCGACGACAATCTCTTGTCATCGAAGTGATCGGCGGTGATGGCCATCAAACCGGGACTGTGGGCGCTGCACGAAGCGTGGGGCGCTGGATGGCGCGCGATCTGGGGGATGGACTGTTGGTCTTCGGGTTGCCCGCATGAATTGTGGGGGGAAAGATGACAAGCCACCTTTCCAGACACTCTGCTGGAGGTGAAAATTCTCCGTCCCGATTAGGTCTCGTATTGATGCGCGATCAAATGCGCCAAAGTATTGCTACTGCGAGTCAAGAATGTATTTACAAGATGTAGGGGGTATAACTATGCACGAGATACATTAGGGATAAATACAGTAAACTCAAGTCCTTGTCCAATCGGTAAGTCGACCCGCTAACTATACCCAAATATCGCCCCCAGCATATCCTTCCACCCGCGCCTGATCACTACTGGCGCCCCACCCCCATACTCGCTCGCGATCCACTCCAGATACCGCGCGTCCATCCCGCTCATCGGCCCCAGCTCAAACGCGCTCATGTCCTTGGACGAGAGCGCAATCACCCCGGGCGCGCCACTATCGAGCGGCTGGTGACTTGCGGCGTTGGTCTGGGGCGAGGGCAGGAAGCGCTCGAGTGTAGAGAGCTGGAATGCCGTGTGTGCGTGGAGCGTCTGGAGGAGCGAGAGCGTCGTGAGGATCTGCCCGTCCCTCCGTCCGCGCGCCGTCTCCGCCATCTCCTCCCCGTCGTCCATGTCCTCGTCCTCCTGCTCGTCCGCAGCCGGGAGCCCCTTGCCCTTTGCTGAGCTGCCGGGGCCGGGAGAGGTGCTGGTGACCGTGGCGCGCCCGCTCGACCACGACATCCCGCTCGACCGTCTCGTGTTCTTCCGACTCAGCCCCGTCCCACTCGCACTCGCGCTGACCTTCGGGCCCCCCTCGATTCCCATGCCCACGGTCCGCACATGCCCCTGGGCGCCAACGCCCAGCCCCGTGCTCCCCTCCGCACTCGCACTCAGCGCGCCCAAGCTCAGGTCCTCGTCCCCCTCGAGCCGCACTGCGCCCCAGTTCGCCGCCCCGCCCGCGGTCGAGTACGACGCCGCCGAGTTCCCGCGCCACCCGCCCATCCACAGCCCCGCGCAGATGACGCAAACGTCCTCGTACACGCGCCACGCGTCCGTCCACACCGTAATCGCGTTTGCGCTGCCCTTGCCGCCCTTTGTCGCGTAGTCGGGCGAGAGGTTCGGGGCACAGCAGGCGTGGTGGTCGTGTGCGGAGGAGGCGTCGAGCTGCAGGATGCGGTTGAGCTCGTTCCACTGTGCGATGGACGTAAGTGTAAGTGCATAGGGGAGAGGAAGGAACCTACGAGCTTTATGTCGCTCCACGAGAAGCGCACGACGGAGAGTCGATGTGTCGGTCCGCGCGCGCGTTGGCCGGCGGGCGGTGGGCACAGGGCGCGAGGAGTAAAACGTCGGTCGCGTGGCCTTGTTGGGCGTCGACGTCGTCAAGTCGATGAGAAGGTCGTAGCAGGACGGCTTCTCGAGGAAGATGGCGTCCGTCGTGCCTGTGGTAACCTATCAGCAACCATGAGAGACGGCGAGGAACTGCACGTACATGCGACCCATCCACGGCCGCTGATCTCCTCACTCTGCAGCCGGTCGAGGTCGTTCAGGGTAATCATGCCCAGAACAGCAATCCCCTCCTTGTGCGTAGGGCGTAGGCGGCGAGTCTGCGACGACTCGCCGCCGGTGTATTCGACCTGCTGCTCGTAGCACATGTCCGCCGCCACCTGGCAGAGGATAGACGCTGCCTCGACGGGGGGAAGGGTATAGATGAGGATGCGGCGTCGTCCGACAGCGTGTTTGTACAGCGTCAGGGAGGAGGGCCCGAGGATGCGTAGGAGATGGGGGAGGTGGAGGGTGGGATTCTGTTCCATTGCGGTGTCCTCAAGCTGCATTGACGTAGTGAGTATCAAGAAATAGGTACAATGAGCAGGCGTACGCGCTCGAGCAACTCATGGCTCCACCCATTCCAGTCCCCTGCGCCACCGAGATCGGCGCGTGTCGCCTTGCGCTCGTTAAAAAACGCCCGCGCAGGGTCCCAGTCGCTCTCGATGGGCACCAGGGACGCGGAGCTCTCGAATCGAGAGTATATCAGCGTCGTAAGCTCCTTGAGGGCGGTGGTGTGCTTCCAGGGTCGCGGGCGTGCGGATTTGGCCAACAGGATACCGAGAGAGGAGAGCCGGAAGCCCCTGTGACCGTGGTCGACGGTCTTGCGCCGCCGGAACACGCAGACACCGTGCTGGCCTTCCTTCGTAAAGTAGCTGGGCCAGAGTCAGTTTTGATGCAAGAGACGGGGTACCCAGACAAGAATAAAGCGTAGCTGCGGCCGTCTCGCTCCACGTCATGCTCCGCGCACAAACCCTGTTGGTCAGACTCCCAAGGACCGACGTCGAGAGTATCCGCTGGGCCAGCCCCCACAGTCCGCTACGGAAGCTTGAATGAGAAGATCAAGGCCAACACGCACACGACATCTTCCTCGACCAAATGTAGTCCGCTCGGAAGCGCACTAAACTCCAGATTATCGAGGTTCAGGTCTGTATTTTCAAGAATAAGAGGAAGGGATTCCAGCGTTCAAAAGACCCTACACGCACCCTCATTCGCCTTCAAGGACCAGTCGATTATATTTCCTTGTGTAGGGTGAAACGAAGCGTGAAAGATTGCAACTGCGCATCCACCAGTCAGCCTATTAATTCGGGCATAAAACGGGCGATATAACGCACCTATATCTTGGGGATACCGTCCCTTGGAATCCAGGGAGGACATAAGGATGGTGGTGGAGGAGGTCAAGGCGCACAATACGGAGTCACACGTTACCCGTCACGATTCCTACCTCCATGTCGCAGCAAGTCAGTGTCGACGATCTGAACGTATCCCAGCTCGCGGACGTCCGCAGGCAACTCGAGGAGGTGACTATCCCGCCAACTGCGCCGGAGCCACCGAGCTAAACGCGGTTTTACAGGAATTAAATCACCTCACAAATTCGTTTGCGCATCTCAAGCAGGCGCAGTCAAAATTCCGGGCGTGCATCGAGAATGTGGCCGAGATAAAACCAGCCAACAAGGGTGAACCACTCTTTTGTATTCGGTTGATGAGATTTAACCTGGATGCACTAGGAAAAACGATCCTCGTTCCGCTAACAAACTCACTCTACGTACCGGGCAAGCTGTCGGACCTTGAGCACGTTATTGTCGACGTCGGGACGGGGTACTTTGTCCAAAAGGTCGGACCATGTCTCTCTTTGACGCGTTTTCTTACCTTGCTCCAGACCCGAGACCAAGCGCACAAACACTACGCCGCCAAGGTCACCTACATCCAGGGCAATCTCGACACGCTCGAGGAAACCATCGGCAAGAAGAAGGAGAATATGGGGTATCTAGTTAATGTCATGCAGGCAAAGTTACAGCAGCAGCAGCAGCAGGGGGCGGCGTCTTGATGCATCTATTTTTGCGTTTTTTGGTTGGTGTAAGGCACTATCGCGGTCGATGGGTGAGTGCCTCATTTTTTTCGCGTACGTGCTCCCACTCTCGCACCGGCTGGCAGTTGCATCGAATCAGGAACAAGGTTTTTGCGCCTCGCGCCGTTCTGGCAACTTGCGGGGTTCTATTGTCATCTTCATTGAAAAGCGATAGAGGAAAAGGCAAAGTTCCTACGCGAAGAACAGGAGAATCGGCTTGACCGACTACACAACCGTTCTCCACGATGCCGTTTCCCCGCTTCGCAAGTTTCGACTTCAGGCTTCGCTGACTTAATTTACGGGATTAACCTCGAGTCTTCCCGGTCTCTGCTGACCTGCGCAAACGTCGACTTCAATCTCCTCATCAGGATCCGCTCGCAGCGCCAGTCTGTCCGAATTCCACCTTCTTTCCAACATTCTGGTCTGGCACTATTAGTTTCGATTCTCGAGATATGGTGGGCTTGTCAGTCGAGTGAGTTATGGAGGAATTCCTGGCATCGGCGGCGGAAGGTTTCACGACAGAGCTATTGGCAGCGTATGGTGCACGGGAGTGGATCTGAGATCCACAGTACGGTGTATCCACAGTTTTCAATTACCAGGCATGCTCGAATTGAGGGGCAATATATATGCCAGGTAGAGAGTGTCGAAATTTTTCGGATCCTAATGGCCGCAATCGAATGACTCAGTAAGCAGCCAGAGACCACACCGATCTCCCATAACTAAAAAGATAAGTGTTGAGGGCAGGACGTGTTCCTACTTTCAAACCTGAATCGAAGAATAAATTTGCGGAGAGGTGTTTTTTTTTTCCTGCTGAAACGTGAGCGAAATGCTACAAAGCACGACGTAGGAAACATACCGAGGATCCATTACGATCCAATGAGAATGAAATCCGAGAGCGCTCCCACATCGGATCCGGAAGAATCGCTCACATCGCTCGAGTCGGGCGACCGCGTCCCGTCATGATACCGCGTAAAAGACAGTGTCGGTATCGACGGGAACGCCCTGCGATACTCGTCCGGGCTGGCCACGCCCCGCGCCGTGACACGCACGTCCCGGAGCTTGCACCCGGACTTTGCAATGAACGCCGACAACGAGTCGATCGGGTTCAGGCCCAGGAATGGCTCCGGT